CCGCCTCCTTCTGCGAGATTACTTCCTCGCAGAAGGTTGCGACTGCGGTAAAACAACTGTCGCTACCGGCCATGGAGCGTACTACGGCCGGTAGCGAGAGATCCACTCCGATGACTGCAGTGAGGGCCCGGCGCTGCGTCGCCCATGCGGGGCAGACCGCTAGCGTGTGCTGGGCCGAGTCCTCACTGCAGTCGCAGTGGTGGCAGGCGGGACTCAGTTCCCTCCTAGCGACCGAGTGCAGGTACTTTCCGAAGCAACCGTGCCCGGAAAGCACCTGCGTCAGCCGGAAGGAAAGGGTCCCGTGCTGCCGCCCTGCCCACTCGGCGATGACCGGCTGGAGAGCCTCCACGGCGGCGAAGCCAGCGCGTGGAGTCTCCAGCCGGAACGACCAACGAGCCATCGTGGCTCGGCGAGCGGCTTCGCGCCACTCGCGCACATCCTCGGGCGGAGGGCGAAATCCGCTCTCCGCCCGGGAGTCAGCCACTCGCCGATAAACTTCGGCGAGCACTTCCGCCTCCAAATCCCACGGGGGAGTTCCGGCCAACGCGCACGCCACCTCCGTCGACACGGTGCGGTAACCGCGTATGGCTCTGACCGCCATTACCCTCTGAGGGCGCCAGAGGCGTGCCCTATTCTGGGCGGTCAGAGCCGCCGCCCACACCGGTGCACCGTATAGTGCCATTGACCGGACAACCCCCGTGTACAGCCGTCTTGTCGCGACGCTGGGTCCACCCAAATTGGGCAAAAGTCGCCCTAGGGCAGACGCAGCGCCGACCAGCTTTGGAGCAAGCTGTCGGAAGTGCTCGTCGAAAAGCCACCTCCCGTCGAGGATCAGGCCCAGATGAAATATCTGGGCCTGATCCCGACCGGTACGAGGACCGAGTTGACCACGATTGAGGCGCCAGGGGGTGGACCATGACGGGGCCCATGAAATAACAGGGCCTCCGTCTTATCTAGGGCCACCCGTAAGCCTAGCGCCTCAATGCGCCCGACCACCAGGGAGACTCCCGTTGTGGCCAGGCGCGCCGCCTCTTGGAAGTTTGCCCCCCGGGCTGTCACCAGGGTATCGTCTGCGTAACAGATTACACCCAGCCCGGGGGGGAAATCGGCGGCGAAGGGCCCAGTCGTACCCTATGTTCCACAAGAGGGGTCCAAGAACAGACCCCTGTGGAACACCGCACGACATGGACCGACACCTCAAATTACCCTCTCGGTCCTCGTACACGACGGTACGCTCCTCTAAATAGTCTGCCACTAGCCGCCTCAGGTACTTTGGCACCCCATGATAGTGGAGTGCTTCCCTGATGCAGCTGAATGGCAGACTATTGAATGCGTTGGCGATGTCCAGTGACACCGCCAACAGCACGCCGCCACAGCTCACGGCCTCTTCGGTCACGGCCCTCAGGCGCAACACAGCGTCGACTGTCGAACGCCCCGCCCGAAAACCAAATTAGGCGTCCGACAGATCGGGGCCCACCTCGTAGAGGTGCCGGACGATGCGGGCAGAGAGAACCCTCTCAAACAATTTACCCGCCTCGTCCAGCAGCACGATGGGCCTGTAGGCCGCGACCGAATCTGCAGGCCGTCCCGGCTTCCTTAATAGGACCAGCTTCCCGCTCTTCCAGCACTCAGGGAAGCGTCCCGACGCCAAGCTAACGTCGAACACCTCCCCGAGGCGGTCTGCTATGTGGTTGAGGGCTAGGGCCAGCACTCGGGCCGGTACCCCGTCTGGCCCAGGGGTGGTGTTCTTGGAACGGATCCTTAGAACAGCCAGAACGGCGGAACATTATCCTCCCCGTGCGCCCCGTCGTCTCCGGCCAAGGAGGCCATCGCCGGGGGAGTGTGTTCCGCTCGTTGCGGGAAAAGGCCCTCAACCACTTCTCGCAGGAAGCTGGGCTGGAGAGTCTCCGTAAGGGGGGGCCCGACGCGCGGAGCTTTTGTCGCACCGCGCGATAAGGACGACCCCAGGGGTCACGATCGAGACCCTCCAGCATCTTATTTCTCTTTATCTCTTTGGCGCGGCTAATGGCGGCGCGGAAAACTCTGAAGCTGGCAGCTTCAGAGTTTTCCGCGCCTCTCGGTACTCCTCATGAAGCCGGTTTTCCTCACCGTCTCCACGGTGACGCCGCCGACTGCGCGTGTAGGACCTCCGGGCACGTGTACAGGCCGCACGGAGGTCCGTCAGCTCCTGGGACCACCAGTAGACCTCCTTCCTTGGAGGCCGACGACCTCGAATGCGGGGCATGGCCGCATCGCAGACATGCGTAACCGCATCGCGAAAGCGACCAGCCCCCACGTCGACCTCCTCGATCGGGGCCCGAGGAGACAGCCACGAGTGAATTATGGCTGCCTCCTCTAGTAGGTCCCGGTTCAGTCTGGCAACAGCCCACCGCGGAAAGCGGGATAAACGCCGCGCCACGTGACCCCTACTGGAGTCCTGGGTCCGGGAGAGCTCAAATCGGATATAAAGATGATCCGAGAGCGTCTCAACCTCTTCCAGGACACGCCAGTTCCTTACTCGTGCGGCGAGGGCAGGGGTAGCGAACGAAAGGTCCACTATCGACCCCCCCTGCTGTCGCACGCACGTGTTGGTGGAGCCTCTGTTGAGAAGACAGAGGCCCACCGAGGCCGCCCACTCCTCTACGGCCTCGCCCCTTGCGTCCGTCCCGGGGGAACCCCACGCAGTGGATTTTGCGTTGAAGTCCCCCAGAACAAGGACGTGCCCAGACGCTAGTCGCCGCATCTAGGTCTCCAGGTTGTTGAGGAAAACCTCGAAGTCGCTCAAACTCCGCTTGGGGGAGAAATAAACACCATATATGGTGATCCCCCCCACTCGGCGGCAACATATCCAGTGCCCTTGTCTCTTAGCGACAAGGGCGGGGAATGAGCCGCCGTGGAACCGACGACTGCCACGGAGCCGTCCCAGTCACCCATCCAGTTTGGACGGGGAGGGACAAATAGGGCTCCGCGACTACGGCAACACCTATCGACCACTGTGCCATGGTTTGCAGGAAGAGATCCTGCGCCGCGGCACAGTGGTTCAGGTTCGTCTGGACCAGGAGGCTGGAGACCCGATCCATTACTGGATCGTCTCTACAGCCTCCTCCATGGGCGACGACGTCGACGCACGAACTACATCGGAGGCAGCCTGGGTCGACTGGCTAGCCCCCGATGCTTGCTGAGAGTTGCGGGGAGGCTTGCAGCCCCCCTGCCCCATCTGGTGATTGGCGGGCTTGTTACCCGCCGCACACACCGGGCAGTGAGGGGCGGCAGTGCATTCCACCGCCACATGCCCCGGTCGACCACAGCGGAAACATAGTCCGCTGCAGTCGAAGCAGCTTTGGCACTTGACGCGCGTGTGCCCCGATGCTAGACATTTATAACACCTCATCGGTCTCGCCGCCAGGACTGTGATCCTAGCGCTCACGAAACCGATGAGCAGCCTGCCGGCGTCGGCCAATACTTTGGCCGACGCTACGGGACAGCTGACCCACACGGTGCCAAGCCCCCCTGGACAGGGGCGGATGGTGCCGACCCTGACGTTGTCCGCGCTGCACCCCGTTTTCTCCCGGATTACAGCGCGGACATCTTCGGCCGTGACAGAGTCGTCCAGGCCCGAGATGCGCAGCTCCGCGCACTTGGTAGGCCTGGCGATCTTGACACCATCTGTGGTCGCGAAAAAACCCCGCAGCCTCTCAGCGAAAGTGTCCCTCGAGCTCGAAGAGAACTCGAGCTCCCGTCTGGGCGAGGCGCATCCTTGACACAAACCCTATACAAACCCGTCTGGCCAGCGTGGTATAGTAGGCCAAAACCTCTTTTCTAAGGAGAGGCTATGTTAAGCAGTGGACTATTAAAGGCTGTTGATGAATCCTTTATTAACTAGATGATAAGTTTGCGCACGTAATTGGTCTGGTTGGTAACAAAATCTGCGATGTTTCATTAGAAGTATATTGAATTCTTAATTTTTTATTGTGCTAATATAAAGTTGACATAGACCAGTATTACTTATTGTGCATCGGGCCAACACAAACACCTAACAAGTACCTTGAAAGAAAAAACAAGTTCAATACATGATTAGATTTTCGAATGAGTTATACTCTAACTCCTAAAGGTCAAGGACCCTTCCATCATCAGCTTAGCAACATGAGATAACGACTAATTAACGCAAATACCTATAAAGCTCGAGAAATAAGCTAAAACACGTTGACGGGGCTGTCCAATTTAAGGCGTTTCCCTCGATTTCTCAAGGACCCCTCATCAGATCCTGATTTGGTGATAATGGTGTATTGTAATAATAAATATTACAGGATATAACCATTGTAACAAAAAACTCGATATTTTATTATTTATACCTATTAAATTCATTTAGAATTTAAAATTAGATTTAGAATATTTATAATAATTTATTTTATTACAAAATTGCTTTAAAGACTCTTTTTTCCCGGTTGTTGTGGGTAAAATTTCATACAGAAGTCAACACTGGCCCACCATCGTAAAGTTTTGTCTATTTCTATGTTTGTTACCTCAGAACTCCTTCATTTGGGATCCGATATGGAAAATTCTTTTTTATTTGGAAAGAAATACTTTCCGCCCGCTTGGTTTAGAAAAATACTACCTCAAATGGTGAAAATTAAGAGAATACATTTTATTGAAACTCGTAATGATGTTGGAAGTCAGTGAGTTTCTTTTAAAGTTAAATATTAAATACAATATCCATCCGAATATCAGCATCGTTTTGTTTCTGTTTTTGTGACGAGTTTCAATTGCAGCTTCGTGAAACTTATAATTAGGAACAGTTACTTAGAACGAGGATTCGTTTTCGCAGTTACAAATTAAAAACTCACCCATCTTTCCCTCCCGTCCTTAGTGCCCGGAACAAGGAATTCTATTTTTCGAGCAAAATAAGGGTAATAAAAATCTCCGTTTTGCAAGAAAAAGCAAGCTTATACAACACAACAATTAGATTGTCTTTATTGTAAACATCAAAGTTACAACTATTATTACACACTCCCACTAGATAGTAGTTTTTCAATTCGATTTGCATTTTTGTGAATCAATATCTTAAGGTCGTTAATTTTTCCATGCTTTTCTTCGATGTCACTATCTAGTTGTTTTAATTTTGTGTGAAAAGGCATCAGGGAATCTTCGTTTAAGCTGAAAATAATATATTTTTTTATTTGCACCATGCACCATGGTAACGAGGACAGAAGATGTATTTTTGCAATTAATGGAACTACATCAATATAATCCAACGAAATTGGACCCAAAACATGATTACTGTAAAAAAATAAGAAGATTGATGCATGGTCTCGTATGTTCCAAGATTGTTGCTGCGAGCACTGTAGAAAACTACGTTCTGGGAAAGTGATCGTTATACTCGTATGTCAACGCTTTGACGCCGCGAACGAAGACGCGCAGAACGGCTTCGAGGATGCTGGACTCGCTTAGCGTAGACTAAAATTTACTATTTGAAATACTTATGCAATGAAGTGGTTAATATCTACGTATTTTGGAAGTGCCTAATGTGTTGTTTTTTACATTCATTTATTTGTACATTATGTCAACATACAGGAAGAAACCAAGACAAGTATTACTGGGTCTTAAAATTTAGAGGGCAAAGTAAACTATACCTACCTCCTCTTTCTTATATTTACCGAATGTTTCCTAGTACTTACGTTTTTTGTTTGAGCATTTCTTTGTTAACCTCTTCATAAATATTTGACCACTGTTGTAGTTCCTGGCGCATGACTTCTACATCTTCTTGAATGTGGTCTAATAGTTTTCCAAGAGGGTTCGCTACTCGCGACAGGGCTTGTATATTAAACCTGAGCTGTTCTACGTCTTGGTTCATAGCCTCTCTGGCTCTTTGTGCTCCGAATTGCCATTCCTCAAATAAAATTAATAAACTAAAGTTCAAAAGTATACAAACAGTACGGTTTACGGGACCTCAGCCTCAGACATTTCAGTTTGACGAAATTTGAATGCAATAATGTGTATCGTTTTAGGTGTCTTCATTTTTTTGTCTTAAGCGGGCCATAAACCTCATGTGATTTAAATTTTCTTTTGTCATTTGTATGTTGTCATGTTATCTTTTTGTCATAAATATTAGAAATAATAAGGCTTACATGCAAAAAAAAAACAATATTTGTTAACGAATAAAAAAAAAATGTTCTGAAAAAATTCACATAAGACACTATGAATTCATGAAAGACCTTAAATTGAACGTTGGGATACTTTTTTTACAAACTAGTAGGTACCTACTGCTCCACATCGTGCTCAATGTCTGCCCAGTACTCATTTGTAAAAAAATGTGTAGAATGGGTATATATATAGGTACGTATATATTCGTAAGAAAATCCTAATAGGGCCTAAAACGGGCTCATAAACTTTGATATACATGAACATAAATGTTAGCTTAAACTAGGTACTAAACCTACTATTTCAGTTTTCCCTGAAACTTGAGACAATTCTTTCTGAGAATCCAAAATCTGTTGGACGAGGTGACCGTGTTCACTTGACGATAGTTTTAAGTCTTGCTGATCTTGTACTACCGCAGTGCTTCCATCACCTTGTTCCATTATTACTAAGCTTGTATCTTCCTCCTGTAAAAAAAACAATGTGTCATAAATTATTGGTTGTATATAATATACACTAGTTATACAATAAACTAGAGAATAGGCAACTAACTTCTTCATTTTGTGTGTTCTCTGCTATAATATTCACTTTTCCAATCAGTAAATTATCGGTATCTTTAATGACATTGTCAACCCTCTCTCTCATTCGAGGGGCTCCAGGCCTTGAGGATGAAGGTCTTACACTATGAGGTCTTACACTTTGTGGTCGCGGGTATTTGATATCATTCTCAGCGGTAACTGGTATTTTAATTGCATTTAACGAGTCCTCTTTTTCTAAATCCATCGTCCTAGCATCGGTTTCCTTAATAATTAAGTTATTAGTGTTTTTTGTTTTATTAGAAATATTCAATTCCAGGTCCAAGCTCTTCGTAGGCTTGTTATCATTATGAATATTTAATTCGTTTTGGTGAGGATCATTAGGCTCTATTTCTTCTGTATTATTATGACTTCCAAGGGATTCAGTTTCCGCTGCTGTCTTGTTTCGTGTTTCTAATAAGTCATCAGATGACCCTGTTGAATTCAAATCGTTCTCATTTATAGTATAGGACGTATTAGGATTATCTTGTTCTTCTTTTTTAATTGCAGGAGAATCCTCATGATTCTCAATTATTTTCTCGCCTAGAGGATCATCTTTTTCAAAAGTTAAGTCTGATTCATGACTCTGATTTTTACTTAAAACATTTTGAACTTTCTCTTTATCAATTAAACTGATAGAGCTTTTTTCTTTGTCAATAGTATTAAGTGTAGAACTTGTAGTGCGAGACATGTTATCCTCTTTGTGCATTTCTTTAATATTCTTTCCCTTATTTTTAGTAACCATTTTTGATTGTTGTGTTTTCTGGGATTCACCTCTAATCGAACCATTTTCTTTCCGTTTTGATTTAACATCGTTGAATTTTTCTTTGTCTTGCTTGCTTGTTGTGCGTGAAATATCAGTCTTCTGATTAGAAAACTTTTCATTGACCTTAGATGTTGACTTTTTTGAATCAGTTGTTTTTTTAATAGATTTACTGGGTTCCTTAGTTTTTGCGTCAGGTTCTTGAGCCGATTTTAAGTTATCTTTGTATTGTCTCACAGCTTTATCTGAAGATAATTTATTATCCAATGCCAGTGCTAGGCATTGTAGAAGCTCGTTTGTTTTTTCGGACTCCTGACCTGCTACGATTTTTGAAGGTTTTACGGATAATGATTTGCCTGTAGTAGAACCTGTGAAAATGTCTTCCCGCAGTAAGTATTGTAATAGATTTTGGTCTTTGATACATCAATCTTTACATTGTTAATATAATGCGATAGAGCACAGAGTCGTTCGCTGATATAGTAGGTATACCTGTGCAGTATAACAAATTTCAATAACACTTTGTCTTAGGACCTAGCTCACAAGTCTGCTCTATCGAATTTTTATTTCTTAAACTTTGCAATTTTAAGGATTCCCTTTCAGAAAGAAGTGGTACTAGTTTTATTTTAAATAAATATCTTTTTAACCAAACCGAAGGCAGAAGTTTGCAGTTTGTAGGAATATTTTCTATATTTTACCGGATTACTCTCCAGCTACAATGGAGTCTTTTTATTTGAAATGAGCACATGGCTTACTACCTAAATAGCCAAAGTCTTATTAGGTCAGTGTCTCAAGATAGAATCCTTCAAAATTCTTCAAATGTATATATGCCAATAAGGGCTTGGGTTTATTTTATAATCTATACATGTGCATAGGCTCTTGGAACATACCATGCGGTGAACTTAAACTGACAAAACAAAGACAATAGTTGGCTATCAGCCCAATAATAAGTATTTCACGGGTTGCAATTCGATTTCGACTTCAAATTGGTTGCTAAGCAATTATGCTCTCACAATGAACACGGTGAAGTGGAGCTGTTGGTACTAGGAGAACTTAACAATTAACGCCCCTTCATCAGGCAACGCACTATTGATGAGGAGTTGACCTAATCGTGAACCTAAACCATTCAGAAATAAATTCAAATTCGTTTAAAAATTAAATATGAACTTAGAATTTAGATGCAGTGCTACCTATCGGGACCGACTTTATTATGATCCTAAACCTTTAAGGCTATATAGCTCATTAGAGCCACCCGACACCCGATCAGCAACGCCTTGCCTCGAGCAGTTAGTATTATTTGTATGGAGTACTATGGGTATACGCTCATTACATCAATTCCGGAGAAACTCGGCCGCGCGAGTGCGCGTGTGCGCGTTGTTCGCGAGTGGTTCACACCGCTTCTCCTCGAACGTGTCTGTCGTATCGTATTCTGGTTAACAACAACAAGTGGGCACCGAGTTGAGGTGGTGCTGGTCGTGTTAGTGTAATGAGCTATGACCTTTAAACAACCCAGTCAAGCCCACACAAAAATCATTCTAATAGATCCAGCCGATTATGAAGAGTTTTCGTCAAATACGAGTACCTACCGAAAACTTAGGATATAATACCTACCTAGTTACATATTATATAAATATACAGGTAAATTAGCTTGGAGAAATTTTTGCGTTTGTAGTAGTGTATGACACGGACAGCGTAAACTGGTTTATTCTGGTTTTGTGCGTGTTTCCACTTTCCACTATCAAGTGACGATTTTTTGCTTTAGATTGAAATATCTCGGAAACGGTGCGTCCTAGGCCAAAAATAACAAAAATTTTGACCTCCCCGTAGACCCCCCGGAGTTTTAAAAACCTAGATGAAAGGAAAAAAAAAAATTTAAATATCGGTCTCTCCTCTTTGAAGTTTCACTTATATCGTGTATGAATCGCACACACACCTTTTTTTTTTATAAAGTCAAAACCTTTTTCTTTAAAATAAAAACTTGTTTTTATTGAAAACGAAAATCAGAGTGTTGCTAGGGATAAGTATTAAATTAAATAGTAATGTTAGGATACCGAAACATTTTTGTATAGGCCAGAACGATATAGTGGAAACGCGCTCTAAGATCTGAGTAATATACACACCACTACATATGCAAAAATTTCTCGAGACTAATTTCACTGTATTCTGGTAGGTTCTAGGTATATATTTACATAACCTACGATAGCATGTAACCTAAAGCGGTATAAAACACTAAAAGATACCCATCTCTTTCTAACATTTGTATTAATAACATACCTACCCAGACCGTTAATCCATGTTATTTATGCAGATAGACCTATTAAACTAATGGTTCATCCACTTACTTATAACAAATATGACTTTGCTAAGAAATGAGATTTTACTGTCTCGATCTTTTACATTATCCGAAATAAGCTCCTCTTCATCAAATAATTTATCAAAAAATCCTGTGGTCTTCAAGACCTGTAAACACATAGAAGTAGTTAAATAGAATATACAGAGTAGTTATCGTTTATTTGCTTGGGTAGGTATACCAATTAATTTACATAATATAGAAATAGGGTCGGCGTTTCGCCTATAGGTAGGTAAAAATATTACTTCCTAGCTGTACCCTACCGCGCTTCGCTGTGGCACATTGTGGTTGCATTATTATGAAAATAGATAAAACCATTTATGAAGAGGTTTGTAAATGGTGTCCAAATTTAACCTTAATCGGTGCGGAATTCCTTGACGTGCGACGGTGCATACACAACAAACCAACTTAACATTTATATATATATATATATATTGGCATTATCAAACAATGTAATCAGAATTCGAGTGTTCTAATTATAAACAGTAAAAACCTATACTAATTCTTAGTAATATTCAAAAATGATGTCCGTAATGGATTAATTACTGATTTAAAATGATATTTAATGTGGGTACCGTTACATAGACGTAATGTGAAAAGGATCAAAAGTAGTCTCTATAAATCTGTAATACTCACTGTAGTTATAACATCGTGTAAAAACCTAAAAGGGGGCTTTTTTAGTAATTTCTCACTCAATGGTGGGCGCTTTACATACTTTCCAAGGGCGATTTGAGTTGACTTTATCACTTCTGGATCTACTTCCTTTTCCATTGTACATGCTTTTCAACGCCTTAAGTTCTATCTACACTAAATAAATTACGTATTACAATAATTGCTATGTATTTGATTTACAAGTTTAATAAATTATCACGTCAAGTGACGATGATTCTCGTATTTAGTTTAGTTTACATTATTTGTATCTATAGCAACCGGTAGAAGTACCGATGAGTAAAGCCGGAAACATACCAGGCGCCGAGATAGAGATATATATATATTTCAATAATTACAAAACAGTATTTTATCGGTTTGCAAATTTGGAATCATGACTTAAATAGAGTATTTGCTGTTATTTCTCTACATTTGCAAAAAAAGTAAATCAAAGATTTTTCTTTAGGTTCACTTGAAATTTCATTAATCTTTATTTGAGCTAATATATGAAAGAAATAATTGTTTTATAGCAGTTGGAACAAACGTAGCAAATTGCAACATTTTTTTAGAATGATTGTAGTGAAAATAATGTACCTACCTACCTATTAGTGACTATTTTTTTGATGACATTAGGTGTTATACAAAATAAATATTATGCCCTTTTTTTCCGTGCTGAAATCCCCTCGGATACCATCGGTGGCATGTCGGACTCGAACCGACTAAAACCGCACGCCGTCCGGGTACTAATAGCCGGGGAACCAGGTATACCCTAGAAAGGAAGTCCCTGGTGCCCCGACATACCTCGGGCCATCTACGACCCCCCCGTGTGGGAAACCCATGTTCCCTCTGCTCCCTGGAAGCGAGCGCGCTTCGCAACGCACTCGCCGCCACCCCGGCCTGCTTCTGCTAGGGTGACAGATGGCCTCACCTGTCACCCCCAAGCCTGCGCTTATGGAGGACGGAGGTCGTTCTGCGAGCTCCGGCGCCTGAGTCGCCTGCGGTACCTGGCCCGTTCTCGGGCCTGGCGGGCCGGGAGAGTTCTAAACCTCTCCCGGTCCCGCTCCGCCGTCTCCTTCGCGAACAAATATTATGCCCTATGGCAAGCTAATCATTTAAGATTTAGTATAGGATTTGTATCTACTCAGCATACTTAATTTTTCGTTGGGCTTTAAACAGCATGTTGCCGGATTTAGCGTTTTACATGAGCATGTTATATAACGGCAACTCCAAACCTAGAACTTATTTTTTTTCTTGCACTAAAAAATACTATAAAATTGGACGAATAAATTACATAACATTGCCTCTGAATCTATATTATAAATGCAACTTATAAATAAAATGTTAAAAGTTTTACTTCACCATTTAAAAATGCCGCCATAAAATAAAATGTTTTGGATTGTGCATCAACTAAGAATCTCCATTAACAATTAGTAAAAAATATTCGTTGAGTCAAATGATAATTTATTTTTATTTTCAATGGAGAACACTTGAGAACGGAACTGCTTTAGTGTGACAAGTTTTTCACATTGTTTTGCAAGAAGGACATGCAGACTGATATTCTCGTATTCAACACCAATCTAAACGAACATTTATTAGGGATGTCATTTTATATAATTAATCACTGTGCTGTAAATATCTACGAACGTCAAGATACGATTTATTCATTTATGTGCCTTTGTGACATTTTTACAGGAAGATTTTCCATTGTCTGCCTATTCGCAACCGAGATATCGGCCGACATATTTTTGGAAAGTAGATTCGCCCAGAATAAGGCTTCTAATTTGTTCACAATACATAAATAAACTCCCTGTTCACAACACTATTTGTGTTGCTTGCGTAGACGTGGCGTATTAGTTTGACAAAGTTTTTTACATATTAGTGAGCGCCTGAGTGAAAGGAATATCAAAATTGGTAAATGTGAACTCATTGCATTTGTATAAGTGGTAAACAAACTAAACAAATAATGTAATCTGGTAGAGAGTTTAGTACAGTGTTATAATAATATGCCTCCCAAACGAAAAAAATTAGGAAGACCGCCAGGGTCTAAAAATAAGAAGCCCTCTGTAAAAGACCTGGCAAATAAGTTGGCTAAGATAAAACGGAATAATATAGAGGAATCAGTTAAAACAACTACTGATTATCAATGTACTGTATGTGACAAATATTTCCCATCGAAGAAAGCGTTACTGAAACATAAGGCAATAGAAGTATCTAAAGTCATTTATACGAAGGTAAGTTGTGGCGCCTGTATATCATTGTCATACACTTTTTCTTTTTCTTTTCAAGAAGAAGAACAACGCTTCTTTTCAACATTGGTCTTAAAATAATTATTGTCTCAGTTACCTAGATAACTGATACTCAACATGTTGGTGTGTTACTGTTTTCATATAAATTTTTAATGCCTTTTAACTATCTATAAAATAATTAAGGCACCATTATTTCAGGCACCATTCAGTTGCCAAGAGTGTCGCAAGAAATTCAGATTTGAAAAAAGCTACCAGAAGCATCTTCAACATGAACATTCCAAATTACCAAACAGTGTTGCATGTGACAAATGCCATGTACGCTGTCCTGACGAAGCTACTTTATTGGAGCACACACAAAAAGTTCATGAAAGGAACATGTTTTTGTGTCCACATTGCAAAAAGGAATTTGTAAGACACTCTCATGTATTAAGACACCTGGCGCAGAGTGGATGTGATGGACAGAGTGCTTCTTGTTATTCGTGTGAAGTAAGAAAATGGGAATTAATCCTCTCAATATAATTAGTATAATGAAACATAATTTTATAAGCCAAAAATATTCATTTAAATATAGAATAAACTTTATTGTACATCAGTTTAGTACATCAAATTATAACCAATATAAATTCTTTATATTTAATAACCCAATCCTTTATTGTCTTAATATCTGTAATTTTTTCAAATCCTTTGTATATGTGTTTCTATATGAAGGTTTTAAGCAGAGTCAAATCTTAGAAGTTGAAAGATAGTAGGTACTAATTAACACTTGTATGATAACTATTAATACATTAATACAAGTGTGCCTGGATATATTTGTGGATATGTCCATGTGGTGACGGAGCAAGAATAGGAAGTGCCACCACCCCCATTCATCCCGTGGTTGAGCCGACTAAGTGAACAAACTATACAGGACAACAGTACTGCAAAGAGAAAGAAAACTTGTAGCAAACCCTATACCAACCCGTCTGGCAAGCATGGTATAATAGGCTCAAACATCTTTTCTAAAGAGAGGCCTATGTTAAGCAGTGAACTACTAATGGCTGGTGATGAGCAATCATGTGCCTCACAGGCTTATTGTGAACCTGACTGTAAATACATAGCATTTTATTTTGACTTCCATAAGCATTGCATAATTAATATCCAAACAAAATAAATATATTTAGCTGATTATGACATTTGTTTCAGGTATGTGATGCAAAATTTTCAAGAAAAGATAATTTAACAGTTCATATTCGTTTACAACATATTTTCAGAAAAGATTATTTTTGTAAGTACTGTAAATTCAGTACCAAAAACTTCTCAAAACTAGTGAACCATTGGCATAAACATCATGCAGGTACTTAATTAAATAATAATGAAATAAAGTGAATGAACAATATAATAGAATAAAATAATTACAGTCTTTTAATTTATAGAAACACCTGATCAATATCAATGTGATGAGTGTTCAAAATGGATCAGTTCACGTGCAGCTATGATGAAGCATCTAGAAATACATGGTGAGAAGAAATATTCCTGCGACATGGTAAGAATTAAGTTTGTCTTTGGAAAAAATATTAATAAAAATTGTTGTGACAGTTTGGTATACATTTTAAATCATCAATACACAAAACTCATTAATTATCTTTATATTCTCTTCATGCCTTACTCAGGAATTTAGAGGTAAGTCCATTTCCATTTTTTTAGTATAGTATATTTACAAGAATTACTTCAAATACTATTTCTTTAACTCAAAACTTTTTACACTAGACAGCATTTTGAAGTTGTGTATTTCTGTAGGATAAACACACCTACCTTATATAGTGCTATTATGACACAGACGGATCATCAACAAAAAGTCACAATAACAAGTAGCGACAAAGGGTTGATTGGTTGATTTATTTTGTTTTCTTTTATTCTGAATATAGCACAGAATCCTCTTAATTCCCTCTCTGTATGTGTAACATCTATATGTGTAACACAGTAAGTACATTTACAAGATTTATGTGTTATCATAAAAAATCACTGTTGTTTGAGAAATAACATGCTATACCAATTTGTGACATTGTATGCTCTAAATTAGTATGGTATGTAAAATTTACAGTGTACTAAATTACACTGCAAATATTACAAAAACCTTATACTGAAATAAAATACGGTTACGGTTAAAGACATTTATTTTTCTCAAAAGATTACAATAAATCACTTGCAGAGAAAAATACAATACTAAACAAAAATATATTACTTAATTAGCGTAGTTAGTTAGTAAGGTAGTTGTGAAAAGTTTTTTGTGAGTAGGGTAGATTAAATACTTTCTATACAGCTGTGAGTTCAAGAATGTTGGTGCACAAAAGAATGCATGTTTGTTAAGGCCTATGACTTAGTGACACGTATCTGTAGATTGATGTCAAACATTTTATTTCTTATTATAGTGACACCAGCAATGTAATATGTTTTATAAGTAAATAATATGTTATATAATTATATAAGCGGAGTGTACCTACTGCTTTTATGTATATTTAGACTAAACATAGGAGCGTTGTAAATTGCATCCCAGAATATTGTATGTAGTGTTCTATACATAATATTGCCAATCTTTTTTTTTTTTTTTTTTTTTTTTTTTTTTTATACATACATATACACACACATATATATATATATATATATATATATATATCAATAAAAATATGTGTAAATTTGTATTAGTATAGGAATTATATACTATTATATATAATTACTTCGTATACGTATACATATACTTAACATATGTATAGTTTAGATATGGTATTCATTAGTAAGAATATTTACACATCAAAATTTAAACAAAGCTACTTTCATTATCTTATCAGTGAGACATCCCTTAAAATGTGGCTTTTTAATAACTTTTTAAATGTGTTTAATGTTTTAGCTTCTTTTATATCTTTAGGTAACTTATTGTAGCTTTGGGCCCCTTCATATAAAATACTCTTTTTGCCGTAATTTGTCCTAGGCATTCGCAGACAGATGTTGTTGGCTCGCCTAGTTACACGTTTGTGGCTGTCTATCTTTTTTGTAAATGTTAACTGTGAGTGGATGTCTTTCGTCAAGATTTTTCTAATAAATATGATGATATTGTATTTATGTGTTTGAGCAAGGTTCATTATGCCGGTTTCTTTGTAGATTTTTACGGTGGGTGTTAAGTAATCATATCGAAACAATATTTTGATCAGTTTATTTTGTGAGGTTTGTAATTGTTTTAGGTTGCTCTTTGCTGACGTGCCCCAGATTTCAATCAGGTAGTCAATGTGTGATTTTACCAAAGAGTTATAGACAGTATATTTTACGTTTCGAGGTAAGCATCGAGCTATGGGTCGAAGAGCGCCAGACAATGACGTTAATTTATTTCGTATTTTATCAATGTGTGGCTTCCACGCAAGTCTATGATCTAATATTAAGCCCAAGTATTTCTCTTCATAAACTTTACCAATTCTTTCACCATTAATGATTAATGGGTTGTAGTTCCCAATTTGTTTGTTTTTAGCACAAAATATGATGTAGTGAGTTTTTGAGGCATTGATAGTTAATAAATTTAAGTTTAACCAGACATTTAACATATTTAGGTCGTGTTGTGCTTGATCAACTATCGTATCTATTGAACGACCAGAATAAAATAAACTAGTATCGTCAGCGTACAAAGTGATATCGCCTCTCAGTCCAATTGCATGTATACTGTTAATGTAAACTAAGAAAAGTAGAGGGCCCAATATTGATCCCTGAGGCACGCCACATGTGACGGATCTTGGTTCACTTTGATGGTTATCAATTTTAACAACTTGAGACCTATTTAAGAGATATGATTTGAGAATGTTATAACCTGCGCCAGCAACACCCAAATCTTTTAGTTTTAATAAAAGTATTTTGTGGCTAACGGTATCAAATGCCTTCTTTAAATCGATGAAAACCCCTAATGTTATCATCCCTTGATCAATACTCAATCTTATATTTGTTACTAGGTCTAAGGTTGCGGATGTAGTGTTGGATTTTGTTCTGAAACCATATTGTTTTTGAAAAAGAAAGTCTTTGGCTATTAAGTATTGATTCAAACGGTTATATAATATGTTTTCAAAAACCTTAGATAGTACTGGTAGCACGGATATAGGCCTATAGTTGCTGGGGTCCATTTTATTACCTGTTTTGAATATAGGTCTAACTTTAGCAATTTTGAGGGAATTTGGAAAGTAACCATTAATAAGGCAAGTATTAATGCAGTTCGCAAGAGGTTGTGCTATAAGATCTTTAATACATTTGATAGCCTTCGTACTAATACCGTCTATACCTGAGCTAGTATTTGTTTTAAGATTATTGATTATTTTAATTACTTCGCATGAAGTTGTTGGTTTAAATTTTGAATAGTGGTCATAATTATTTTTATAAGGTGCACATGTTAGATGATAGGTATGAACGTCTTGGGATATCTTGTTAGCTAGTTCACTACCTATTGTAGAGAAGAACAAATTAAAGCATTCGCAAATTTCTTTAATATTTGTGATACGTCCTGTACCAGAATTGAGTGCCAACGGCCCAGAGCTAGTTTCGACTTTGTTATTGGATAGTCTATTGATAAGTTGCCACATTTTTAACGGATGCTTCTTACAGTTTTTAAAAGCATTATTGTAATATTGATTTTTCGCACTTTGAATTGATGTGTACGTAATACTACGTTTCTTTTTAAACTCATTCTTCAATTGAGCATCATCAGGTTTTTGTTTCAGGTCTTGATATAATTGGTTCCTTTCGTCAATTAGTTTGATAAGTTTGTTATTTATCCATTCCTTGCGAGGTAAATTAAGGATCTTCATTTTCTGTATTTTATTACTATTGATTGAGTTTAACAAAAAAGTTTCCAGGTTAGTAAAATCGGCAATTTCTCCTTTTCCGATAGCATTCTTTACAGTATTATATAAATTGGTGTAATTTATAGACTCATACTGTATTCGCTGTATACGTATAGGTTTAAGTCTGTTTATCTCCAGATATAGTTGTTTATGGTCTGAGAGAGAAGAATCAACTACAGACATTTGGAAAGTGTTATCCTGTAAGTTTGTTATTACATGATCTAGGATAGTTTTTGTTGTTCCTGTTTCGCGAGTGCAGTATTCCAGGCTAATTTTGTTCAATATTTTCATGTTGTTCTCTCGCAACACTGCAGTGTACTCTTTTACAATATTTTCAGCACTTAGTAAATTAATATTAAGGTCGCCAAAGGTGATTACTCTTTTTCTTTTTGCAAGATGTTGATTATAGGTTTCCAGAAATTTGCTTGTGTTTGATGCTGGTTGTTTGTATATCACGCCAATATCTAAAGAAAACGTGTCCAAGTATACCCACAAAAAGTGGTTTCCGTCTTCGCATTGTTCATCCAATACATTATGCTTTAAATTTTTATGAATAAATATAGAAACTCCACCACCTCGTGAATGTTTTCTGTAATTGAAGTAATGTATATAGTTCGGCAATTTTAATCTGTGAGCTTCCTCTTCACTTTTAATCCATGTCTCTGTTAAAACTAATACATGTATGGTTGTTGGAATAGATTCTAAGATGCACGTTATTTCATCTATTTTGCCTGATTTTACAATGCTTCGCACGTTTGCGTAGAGGAATTTGAGAGATTTGCGAGTAACTGTTAGATTGGCATATTTATTACAGATTTCATATGTTACACACTTGTTTTCTCTTAGACTATTTACTGCTGCACTTAGTTTTTTGACTGTTGTTTAATTATTTTTGGTATACCTTTCTGATATTTTATAATTAAGTCCTTTTCACCATTTTCTGTACGTTGACGTAGCTCTTCTCGTAATTTTAATATAAACTGCTGCTGGTTTGGTGTCCGATCCGAGTAGATTCTGATGGTTTTATCATTGACTTTAGATCTTCCTTTCAATACATTAAGGGCCGTGTTGTGACATGTGAAACAAACTTTGATAGAACGAATTTTATTCTCGTCATATTTGCCTAATCGTATAATTTTTTCCGGGTCAGGACAGTTTGGGTAGATAGCTGATATTATACTTTTCACCTCATTCTTATCTTTTTCTCTTCTTTGTTCGGTGTTGTCGAAGCGCGGTTCAGCGATACCAGTTATTATTACATTTTTGCTACGTTCACTTCGCTCTTGTACTTCTGCTATTATTTTATCATAAGTAGTTATTGATCCCAGGTTTTCTACTGATGCCGAAAAATCTACACCAGATCGCAGAATATGGACGTCACTCTCCAGGGACTTAACCTTTTCCTGAGTTTTGTTAACAGTACTCGTAAGACTTGCTATTTTTGTGTCAAACATAATATTCTCGGCAGTCAGCCTCTCTGTTGTGGTTTTAATGTCATCCAATTGTTGCTTTACAGAAGATATATCTTGTCTTATGGCAGTAAAACTATCTGTCTGGAACACTTTAAACTCTTTAAACATGCCAAGAATTTCATTTTTGAATTCACTAAATTGTTGTGAGAAATCATCGTCACGAGTTTTTCGTTTCCGTATTGACTTTTTCATTGATTCCGGTACAGCGATCCCGAAATTTGACAAATCTGGTTGAGAACTACTGGTTCTAATGGTATCAGTAGGCGACCTTAAGACACTCATGTTAAGTGTATTTGATAATAATTAATAGTTTTAAAAATATATTACCCGGTCCGCTTTCCGCTCCGCTTGTGTAACATGTGCGCTACCTAGTGATGTGTACGCCCACTATGATTGAATAGCGCCGGGCACTCACTATTATTCAAGATTATACTGTACTTCCAGTGATGTTAGGTTTATTCTATATTAGCACTTATTTATTTTGTTTTATTGAAATACTTGAGACACGTCTGCTCACTACGCTAATCAGAACAGAGACCTGAAGAAATGAAAAGACATTCATCAGATATAGTATTTTGGCTCAATATTTTTTTTTTAGCATGTACATTTCACAGTTTTCTATACTATTAGCTAAATTACAAAATCTGGTGTAAATTATATTTCAACTTTTTTGGTGATGGGGTGGAAAATCTCTTCAGATCTCCGGCTCCTTAGGGACCACCCCGACGGCCCGGCCTCAAGCGCCCAACTTTGGGGAGAACCCGGGCTCTGTGTTTTCAGGTCCCCCCTGAATCGACCATGCGGCTACTGTGGCCCTATCACAGGGACGCAGCAAGCTTTCCATTAGATTTGAACCTAAAATCCCCATACCTACAAAAATTGTTATTGATTTGTCAATAGTTTCCAATAAAACTACTGATAAAACACTACTCCGTCATTCACGATATCCTTTTGTCTGTCCTGTCCTATCTCATGATACACTGGACTGGTTTTTGTCTTATCTTCACGGGCGCCATCAGTCTGTCCGCGTCGATGAATTCTCTTCAGGTTAGCGTGAACTCGACTGTAGCTTCCCTCAATGTGGCATTCTCTCTCCTCTATCATTTTCAATATTTAATTTCAATCTCATCACTCCAAGCCTTCAATGTGCGCACCATAATCTGTTATCAAGCCTCGATAGACAACATAGACGAGGCCATCCTGAGGGTAAATAACGACCCGGGGGGACCGGGCGAATAATGACCTAATAATAATTGGGCTATTAGGTTTGGTTTGACTGTGAACGTGTTGTGACATCATAGGCAGTCAACGTATGTATGTATGATTGGAAGGTTAAACCAGGGTAAACTTCCACCCATTACCTTTAACGGCATAGTCATTCCTTTTAGCCCAGCTGTTAAGAACCTAGGCCTAATTATCGACTCCAAGCTCAGCTGGCACACACAGGTCACGAGCGTCAGCTAGAAAGTCACAGGTCCGCTACAGGCCTTTTATCGGCTTAAGAATTTCCTCCCCTTCGAGACGAAAGCGATGCTAGTACAGGCTCTTATTGTCCCCATCTTGGATTATGATTAAATATGCTATTATGACCTGAATGTAGATCTTTTCAAAAAATATGACCGCCTTTTGAATAACTGCATTCGATTCGTCTTCACCCTTCGCAAATACAACCATGTATCCTCCTTTCGTCGCGAATTGAACTGGCTCACTATTCGTCAGCTGTGCGCCCTCACCACTCTCTATTCCATACTCAAATCATCCATTTCCCCCTCCTACCTCACATCTTCATTCCAATTTCTGTGTTTCCACCACGAAAGAACCCTCCGTTCATTAAATAATCCTCTTCTGCTATGTCCCACTCATTCTTCCGCTTGTGTCCTCTCCTCGTTCCTAATCCTATCCGTACTCCTCTGGAACGCTCTCCCTCTAGAAATCAGGATAGCACCCAGCCGCCTCTCGTTCAAGATGAAAGTTCGAGCTCGCATTCTAAAACCCTATCAGATTCCATTGGTTCTTTCTTAGGCGGACTTTAGTTACCGCTATAAGAGTATTTCACAACTCTTTACCTCTAAAATAGTAAAGAACTTATGGTCTGTAATAAATATTTTTCAGTGTGGATATAGCACGTACACTGTAGAGGTGATGCGCCGTCACATTCTTACGCACGTAGAGGATAAGCCACATAAGTGTAATTTGTGCAACCGTTCCTACATACAGCGTGTTCAGTTGCAGCGACATCTGGAAAAACATATGGGCAACTTGTGCACTGAGTGCGGTCAAACATTCTCCTCCAGAGCTAAGTATGTTGTGCTTAGATACCTTGAATAAATAAATAAATAAATTAGATATACATTCTTGACATATGCTATTATGTTATTAGTTTCTTTAAAAACTGCTTTTAAAAAATATTATATTGAATTATTTTTTTCCAGTAGGTTTAGGATTAAATATGCTTTACATTTCTTATGTACCAATGCTTTTCCATTATATATTATATACTTCCAAATGAACAGAATTTCAGAATGGTTATTTAGGTAAGTGTATATGTCATATATGCATGGTAGGTAAGTACATACGAGTATCAGGCTTCTGCTAGTACTTTATCGTGACTGGCTTGTTAATCTAGTGGTTAGTGACCCTGACTGCTACGCCAGGGGTTGTGGGTTAGATTCCCACCCAGGACAAATAATTGTGTGATGAGCATGGTCACTTGTTCTGTGTGTGGGTGTACTTAATTTATAATATGTATGTATTTAGAAATATATAATTATGTTTATCAGTAGTTTGGTTACCATAGTAAAGCCCCTCCCTAGTTTGGGATCAGACGGCCGTGTGTCAAATATAAAATATTATTAACAACAATGACCCAGGTCTACTAATATTTTAAAGAAGACGCATTCTGAAGTTGTCATAAAATGTAACTGTTATTTGTTATGAATATCAATTCCTGTTGGTTAGGCTGCCCAACCACCAGTCTCACCACTGGCATGCAAATAAACAGTCACCCAATCTTGATGTGTTGTTTAGTTTATCAGCAATCGTTTAACATTCCTATCGATCAAAATTGTTTTTGCTAATATAAATATATAGATATAGTCATGTACAACAAAATAATTTTATTTCAGAATGCTGGTACACCTGAGAGAGCATATGGGATTGGAAAAATTACGATGCCCACTTGAATCATGCCCATACTCCACGAAGGATTTCATAAACGAATCGAGTTTGACCTATCACCTAAATGTACATTTAGACAATAAGCGTAAGCACAATTTTATTTAAAAAAAATTACTTTTCTGTCTCCGTGGCTATCAATAAATATTTAGGTCTCGCAAAGCCGTTTAGATGCAATTCCATCAATCTGCAATAAAGTTTATCTGCTGAGTGCTTAGTGCTACTTCAGTCATTTCTAGTCTATCAATCTTACAATCTGTATTTATGTAAAAAAATAAGAAACAGTAATCCATCCGAATAATGATGTCGCAGCTCACAGTTGCGACGTGTGCGAGAAGAAGTTCCACTCGGAGATAAACTTGAAGCGGCACCTGGAGACGCACACGCTGGACCGGCCGCGGCGCTGCATGTACTGCGTGTCGGCGCGCGCCTACGTGCGCGGCGAGCAGCTCATCCGCCACGTGCGCAAGAGCCACCCCGCCGCCTTCCGCTCGCACCTGCAGCACGTGCGGCAAGTGCTCGTACGTACACGATGCTTAAATGATGCTTATTTAAATGTAACTTAAATTCATCACAGTTTTACGTCGTATTTTAATTCATATATTACATGATGACAATTTTATGTACCTTACTGCTTTGTAAAACGATGTACATATAAAGAATTTTCTATCTATCTATCTAAATATTAAATGCATTTAGTGAAGGCCTAAATCTATACTAATATTATAAAGCTGAAGAGTTTGTTTGTTTATTTGTTTGTTTGTTTGTTTGAACGCGCTAATCTCAGGAACTACTGGTCCGATTTGAAAAATTCTTTTAGTGTTGGATAGCCCATTTATCGAGGAAGGCTATAGGCTATATATCATCACGCTAAGACCAATAGGAGCGGAACACCAATGAAGAATGTTTAAAAAACGGAGAAAATTTATTACTATTGAGAGACGCAGACGAAGTTGCGCGGGTCAGCTAGTGTAAAATAAAATGAAAAGTTCTTCTACGATTATCCACGACGTAAATACAATATATTATATTAATTTAATTTCTATTGGTCATTCGGTCAGGAGTACGAAGAACGAGATAGTGTATATTTTAGTCACAAGCAGCACACCCAAAGACCGATCGAATGTAAATATTCCTATTATATATTGGTTTTTAATTTATAAACCTTTTTTATTTATTTTACAGGGAGCAGGTAACACAACAGACAGGGTGAAAAAATCAGAAATAGAGTCAATCCTCAATTTGTTGGATGCGGAGGCTGATCGTATTCTGCAAGGGTACAGCGGGTCGGGGGTGCTCTACGGTGGCATGCAGGAGGATGTGATCGTGCCCGTAGAACACTCGACAGAAAAAGTAAATCTCTTTCGATTTGAATTGGAAGCCATTAAGGGACTTGGTATTGGGGTAAAACAGATTAATATGGATTTTTTCTTTCAGAAAACAAATAACCCTCTGATGTCAGAAGAAGATTTGGCTGATAATTTGAGTAAATTAATTACGCAACTCATCGATCAGGAGACACTCAGTTTGTTTGGCTGGCCTGGTGAGACTGTCGATGTGGTAGGTCTTATTTTAACTATGATTCTTTATAAAGTTGTCTTACATTATGACATAAGAAAATTTTGGCACTGTCATATCACCTAATAATCGAAGTGAAATGCAATTACGAAGTGTCACTAAATTAAAAAAATTCAAGTATAATTTATTGACTTGTCGTAACGTGCGCGCATCTTCAGATACATATCCAGAGTCTTGACGAGACTCACAAAAAAGTCAAGGTGACATAAGTTACTCGTGCGCATTCGCTCACAATAATGTACATATATACTTCATTAGTAAATGCAAATACCCTTTATGCGGAGGCATTAGAAGCTCTGGAAATAGCTATAAAGTTTCAGGTACGAAAAAATAATGTAACAATTTCAGTTAACTTCAATTGAAAAGAATTAGCTTCAATTGATGTAGCAGCAATAAAAAGATGAAAAGATGCTTTCGTGATTTTAATTATTTTAATTGAAAATTTTTTTGATAAAAGTCCTTTTTTGATTAAGATTACAATGTTTTGATTATTAAAGGATATAGCTTTTTACACATTCCTCTATCCGTAATTTCGATTATCTGAATGTCGTAAGACGGTCCGGTTAGTCGAATCTCCACTGTAACTAAAAAGTATAAAAGTCGTACATTATGTACTGTAATGCACATGATAAATGAAAATTTGGTGTATACATGTAGATTATAAGTTCCTCGTAATACTATCTAGCCAACACAAAAAAAATTGAATCATATTTTTTTTTAAACAGGTTTTAGAGAAAGTAATAGAGCAATGCGGGGCTCGTGCAGCAGATCGGGAGAAATGGACTCGAGTACAGCGCCTGCGAGAAAACACAAAGCATTTATTTTTGTATGTCATTGAGGACAAGAATATCGCGCGGATGCTCGATACACACACAATCGATCAAATTGTAATACACATACTGAAGCAAGTCTCTGAAGATGATTCCATAGAAAGTAATCAATGATCTATATATTTTTATATAATTTGTTGCTCAACATTCAGTAGTAACAAAAATAACAATACCTTTATAACATCAATCAATTCATAAGTGAAAAAGTGTTTTGTTTTAATTTTAAGATAAGTTAAATATTTTAGGAGTATATTATTCTGGCCAATGAGCAATACTAAATCTAGATAATTTAACAGTAAATAAGAAAACACACGGAATTTTCTTACTTTCTTACTTATGATTATGAAATGTTCAAATAATTAAACAGTGTATAATATCAAACTGGTGACTACTCATTTTGGTAGTCCTTAGGAAACGCACCTTTCAATTCAAAGAGTTTTATTTACATGATAAGTGATCAACTTTATTTAGTATCTAAATTAGAAGGAAAAAGCAAGTATAGTCATCAAATGAATTATTAAAAGTGCAATCGACTTTACTGTGTCTAAATCATGTTCTAAAAAAATTCATTAGATATTGTTTTCTTGGGGTTCGGATGTTTTAAATCCAATTTTTGGTATGCTTTATAAACTGTTTAAAAAAAATGCAATAAAAAAGAGTTATTTATTCTTTATCCGTGAGAGAGCCAAGCTTCGCAAGAAATCGCGCTACTCCCACCCCTCTTACCATTTCTGGGCGTGGGAGGTGGCGCAAATGACGGCAACCCACTTATGACTTGTGTCCACGGGCGGTAGTAGTCACTTGACATTAGGTATGTTGTCTGATCGTCTGCTATACTCTACCATAAAAAAATGTATTAAATAGAATGCATAGCTGAATGGAAAGGAACAAATAAGAAACAGGGACGCACTCGAATGTGGCTGTGCACGTAATATGAACTCTTGGCTAAAATAATGCCCAGAGCTAAAAAAATTGAAGTAAGTTCAAAAGGTAAGGTAGACCAACTATAAGATCAAATTGTTATTCTAACTGACTTTACTAACGTATATAAATCTTATAGAATATTAAGGATTAATATCATTAGATGCGCCCAGCCAATCAATATGTAATCCCAATTTTGTTTCGTTGTTTCTATACAAAGTTGACACCAGAAAAATTACTTTTATTCATAATTACTTTATACACATCAGACACACGGCAGTTTAACACACATAACGCTCTTTATATTTGACCACACCTGTTCCCTAACACTTTCTATAACACTTAGGTACTTTTTTTAAAATACGTATTTTATTAATAGATAACTCAATAATGTTCTACGTCCTAGCATGCTCCCTAGTCACCTTAAACCACGCCTCAGTATCGTGTATGGCTGCTTCAAACGGCGTAAACTTGATATCCTTGTATAGACTCCTCAGTTTTTTGTTAGATGCTGTTTTCTTATACTGCCCGTCCGCTTTGGTTGTATCGTACACAATGACACAAATCAATACTTACAATACCCTCTACTTTGGTTTGTTACACTAAACATCTCAAATACCAAATATAGTATAGTTGAAGTATGTAATAGTTTCGTTTACTCATAAAAAAATAAATCATTTTTTTAATATTTTAAGAATATAAAATATCTCGCATTATTACTTTTTAGAGTGACTGACGGTGTTTCTAAGTCAGCTCGCTCAAATGGTCAAACTAATAGGGCATATCTAACGAGTTGAATCTTTTTAGAATACATTCGCTTATTATTTTGTTTGTAAGCAGTGTGCTATATAATGGGGCCTTAATGTTCACAATGTTAATATTTACTGACTGATTTCGATATTTACAGAAAACAGCATATTAAATTTTATTGACTGTTGATTGATAAATATTTGTTCCTCTTTAGATCATATATTGTTATACTTATCTAAAATCTATGCATTAATTGGCAAGACCATAAAGTTAGAACCATTTTCTTTATGTTTGTCATCTGTTCTTTTTAGTTTTGTAGTAATGGTGAGTTTAGTGATATCATTTTTTTTATCTTACATGTTTTTTTTTCAAATCATGGGAAAACGAGTTTGCAGTACACATGTTGACCTGTCATGGTATGGAAAGACTATACAATCATGTTATACTGGTTAATGAAGTAAAGCAAAAAAATTGACTTGTGGTTGAAATTGAACCACCATGCGATCCTTAGGTATAATAGATATTTAAATTTGCAAATGAAACAATGTGATCAATGTGATCCAGAAATATTATGTATTTACTTTAATGTTGTAGTTTCAAAATAAAAATATTTTTGCTATATTACTTAAATTTTATAAATAAAGGTATGGAAAGAAAATGCTGAAATTAAACTATCTTATAGAAATTTACAGTGAATAATTTTACAGTGGTTACTGCTTTTATTTTAACCTGTTGTTGATTGCATACAATATCTACACATTTCGTATACTGTTAAACTCTTAGTCATAGTTTCTTACTCATAAGTATTTAAATGTTTTTAAATATGTGCCTTGGAAAATGTAAGTACTTAGGGTTATGGTAAAATAATGGTTATTAAATCTTTTCATATGTTACTTTGAAGTTTCAGTGATCGTTTTATGCCAACTATATTACGACATGACGAAATACGACGATTACGATATGACGACTAGGTATGACGAAAGCTAAATTACAAATACTCTACTGTGATTATCGACTTTCCTCTTTAAAATATAGCTTGACCTTATAACTGGGAATAAACCAAATTATCAAGACCAATTTATTGTAGAACTTCGTGATAAGTATGTTTTTTATTTACCACAAATTTATGTTGTTTTTTGAGCATATGTACCTTTACATTATCATAGTTCCGATACTAGTGTAGAGTAATGGAAGATTATAGGTATTGGGTATTCCTTATTGTTCATGAGGAGGCATGGGACAAACTCACAGTGTACTAATCCCACCCACACGCCCACCACTGTAACTCCTGTACACCAGGATCCACAGCAGTGACCCACGAACACACCGAGTTATGACACTCGGGAAGTCCCAGGAAGAAATTAAACTGTCTTGGAACCCGCAACGAAATGAATCAGAAGAAAATTGGAGGAGTTGGAAATACAGTAAATCCACTTCCCTCCTTAGCAAAGCGGACGACAAAATGAAGTAAAATGGGCATACACCCTTTTAAACAGGGAAGCACCACGGCCACAAAATATTACGGGTCCTACGTGAGCTATATTTGATTTCTATAATATGTATGAAGATGCAGAATCGCCTAAACGCACGGAAATTCACCCTAGTTGACACAAGATCCCCATAGTATACCGCCCCAGATGTCACCTGCAAGCTATTCAGCATTATATTACGTTCATTATACCAAAGGCTACATTCCCAGAGGATATGATGAGCAGACTGTTCATAGTGCGTGTTAGGTGTTGCGCATTGACACAATGGTGACTCGACCAATTTAAATGAATAAAGCTTGCTCTTAAAGTTACCATGACCCGTAAGAGATTGAGCGACACAGTGATCCACCTCAAGTCATGTCCTCGACAACCGTTAGCGAACAGATGGAAAGAATTGGTAAAGATGGCGCCCCTTGGATGATTCATCCCAGCGTTGTTGCCATTCGTCTATGAGGTCATTATAGACATCGGACTGCTGTTGAAGCAATCTTGTAATTTTAGCGCGATCCCGCGCGCCCAAAAAATCGCATTCCATGTTTTGTTGTCTTGAATAGTACATCGCTGCACGTCTCTGCACCTCGAGATCGACCGGAAGCACACCCGCCAACACCGGCAAAGCCTCAGTGCTAACCGTCCTATATGCCTTGCACAAGAATATCAGTGCAAGTCGTTGGCCTTGTAACAGTTTGCGACGGACAGCGCCTACGGTCGCCCTATTGGCCCATACAGGTGCACCATAGCACATAGAACCTAAATAAGTAGCTCCGTATATGATCTTTAATGTATTAAATGATAGACCCCATGTCGCAGTTGATATCCTTGTCAATGCACAGAAACTCTTTTTAGACTTTTCAGTAACTATTTTTATATGTTCGATAAATGAAAAGTTTCTTTCTAAAACTAATCCTAGGTAACACACTGAGGCCTTATTTTTTACAGTAACATTGTCAAATTATTATATTCCACAAGTATGGACCTAGCACCGATCCCTGAGGACATCCCATTGTAAGCGCCTTCGACACAGAATGATGACCAAGTCTTAGTTTAGTAGTACCTTGTGAAAAGTACGAAGATATAAGGGAATAAATATTTTTAAAGCACCCCGTGAGTTTAATTTCAGCAACAGCATGAGCCACCATGCGTTGTCGAAGGCGCCAGATATATCTAAGAAAATAGCCAGCACGTATTGAAATTTTGACTCTGTGACAAACTTTCTAACCGATATAACAGCGTCAGTTGTCGATTTACCCAACGTAAATCCAAATTGTCTATCATGAAATTTGACTCCACCTGGCAGAAGCCGGGGCACTACAAGACGTTCTAAAAGCTTTCCTAACGATGGCAACAATGTGATGGGTCGGTAGGATTTAGGATCATTCGGTGGCTTGTTGCCAATTTTTGGTATTATACGAATATTACCGCACCGCCATATACGAGGAAATATTCCTTCAGCAATGCAACGTTTAAAGACAGTGAAAATCGTGTCACCCGAAAGTTTACAAGCTTCTTATGAGAGCATTATTGTAGAAATCTCCTGTTACGTTATGTTTTTTAAAAGTGTTTAATTTTCTACGAGCTTTCCGGTAGCTTCTACGTAGTTCGGCTAATCTATCATTCCACCAATCACATCTACGAGTATTAGTGATAGATCCGCGACCAATAGATACATGAGCGCAGTATGTGAAAGTTTCTGATAGTATTTCTGCACTTTCCTCAGCTGATAAATTACTGCGACTGAAGTCTTTGGTATGAGTTGCAAAGAGTGAGCCAAACAAAGCCCAGTTCGCACCTTTAGTTTTATATCTAAAATTATTAGGAGCCCTTTGTGGATCCCGTGCAACCCTTGGTATGAATTCGTACACGATCAAGCGGTGATCACTAGAGGATGCGTCCGGGAGGACACGCCATCCGAATATCGAGATGTCGCCGCGCGAGAGCGTCACGTCAATAGAA